GCCCCGGCTGCCACCTAGTGCTCAGTCCAGCGGGGACAACAGGGGACATCAGGACGCGCCAACCATCCCCACCGTCCACGCGGGGCCCCAAAAAGCCTGCGAGAAGCAAGCAGCGTGACGTAACGACCCCGCGGCGGGGCGGGGGGAGGCATCTGGGGAGGTGCTCCCGTGTTTCCTCCTCCTCTTCCTCCTCCTCTTCCTCCTCCTCCTCCTGCTGCGCGCAGGATGCGCGGGTTTTGCCCGGCGCTCTGCTTGGCGCTGCTGGCGGCGGAGCGCGGAGCGCGTGAGTGAGCGCGCAGCGTGCGCGGGAGTTGCGCGGGGAGAAAGGAGAGAGCGCTGTGCCTCCATGCTCTCATCACCCCTAGCCTGGACCCCTCTGCTTGCCCCTCCTTTACTCCCTAAACGAGGGGTTTGGGGATCCACGCAGCCTCTAGCTATATTCTCTTTTATAAAAGAAAAAAGAGAAAACACTGAAAATGCTGAATTTTTTTCTTAAATTTGAAGCTGGGCATGCTTTATCTGAACCCGACTTCAGCCATGTCCCTGGGTAGTGGTTGTGCTGTGCTGTTGCTGACAAGCTGTAAGGAGCTGACTGCCCAAGATAAGAGTGGGACACAAGCTGTGAACTTTTGGGGAAGTAGTGGGTTGTATCTTTTAGATGCATGCAGCATCCCCAGCACTGCCTCTCTCTTATTTTCCAGGGCTCTGCACCATCATCCATTACTTTTCACATGGGCAGCTGGGCTGGTTTTGTGGGACCATCACCTGCTTGGTACCTGGCTACGTGGCTCAACTCCTCAGCATCCTCTGGTTGAAGACAGATGGACACCCACCAGGCTGCAGGGTCGTGGTCCTCCACATCCTACAGTTTGGCCTCTGGAAGCGGTGAGAGATTCACCCCTCAGTCCATCCAGCCTTCTTAAACCTGCCCAAAATGATGTGGAAATCCCAACCCATGTCATCCCAACCTATGCCATCCTGACAAATGCATTGCCATCTGGTCCCATTCCATGTCATGACATCCCATCCCATGCTATCGCAACCCATGCCTTGCCATCTTGTCCAATCCCATGCCATGCAATCTCATCCCATCCTGTCCCTTCCCATCCTATGCCATCCTATCCCATCCTATCCCATCCCCTGACATGCCATGCCATGCTACACCATCTCATCTCATCTCATCTCATCTCATCTCATCTCATCTCATCTCATCTCATCTCATCTCATCTCATCTCAGCCCAGCCCAGCCCAGCCCAGCCCAGCCCATCTGATCATTCCATGCCATTCCATCCCATGCCATTCCATTCATTCCATGCCATTCCATCTCATTTCATGCCATCTCATGCCATCTTATCTCATCCTATGCCATCCCATCCCATCTCAACATCCCATTCCATCCCATCTCATCATCTCATCCCTTTCCATGCCTTCTCATCCTATCCCATCCCATCCCATGTCATCCCATGCCATCTCATGCCATGCCATCCCATTCCATCTCAACTCATCATTCCATGCCATCCCATCCTATGCCATCCCATCCCATCCCATGCCATTCCATCTCATTTCATCTCATCTCATCCTATGCCATCCCATCCCATCTCAACATCCCATCCATCTCATCATCTCATCTCATCCCATCCCATGCCATCTCATCTCATCCTATGCCATCCCATCCCATCCCAACCCATCCCGCTGATTCTTGCAGGTACTGGGATATTTTGTGGATGGAGATGAAGGCAAAAAGCAGTGAAGGTACTGGGAAGATGCTGATGTGGCATGCAGACGTGAGTGTGCTGCGGCTCCTGGAAGCCCTGCTGCAGAGTCTGCCTCACCTCCTGCTGCAGGTGTATGTTGTCGTGGTCAGTGAGCCATCCAGCCTCATCCCTGGTGAGTCTTTGGGCTACACATGGATTTTCACAGCTGGCACAGTCATGCCTTCCAGTGTACAATGCATCTCCATGGGACACCATGCCTTGGTTGAGTTTGAACCCAACATATGTTCCCTAGGTTCATCCCACAATGTGCTGCTGTACTGAGCAGTTAGTGTTTGGGGTTGCTTCATGGAAAAAGTGAATTTTCAGCTCAGTTTTCCAGAGGGAAAGGTTGGGGTGTAAACAAGGTCATATCACTGGTTGGTGTTAGGCTCTGGTAGGAGTGGAGATGGAGTTCAGAATTTGGGTGGGGAGATTTGGATAGGGAGAAATTAGGGTAGTATGGTTAGGTTGCGGTTGGACTTGATGATCTTTGAAGCCTTTTCCAACCTGAACAATTCTATGATTCTGTGTCAATGCAAGTGTGCAAAGGAGACTCAATCTGGCAGGAATGAGTTGAAACCCTCCATCTGGCAGGAATGAGTTGAAACCCTCCATCTGGCAGGATCCTCTGTCTAGCTTGCATGGGTACTGTGCTATAGATAGCTCCTGAGAGTGCAGCTCGGATCCTACATGACAATCAGGCATCCTTCGAGCACTCAGAACTTTCCCTGTCCCCATATAGCTGTCAGTGCTGGGCTGTCCCTGCTGTCCCTCTCCTGGGCTTTGGTGTCCTACAGCCACTCCTGCTGCCTGCTGAGACCTGGCCATGTTTGCCTGCCAGCCACAGCCCTGCTCTGCCTGCTGCTCTGGAGGATGGGGATGCTGACAAGCAGGGTCCTGGCCCTGGTGCTCTTCACCAAGCTCTATTCCTGCTGGGTTCTGGCTGTGGCAGGTAAGAGCAGCACTCATAGTCCTTACACCCCATCCCATTGCCAGTTGTAGGAATGCTCCCACTGACCCCAAGTCACTTGTATCTTTTCGGTGCCAACCCCTCGCAGGCACCCACTGGGTGCTGATGTCCTTCTGGCTGGTGGCCCTGCAGAGTGACATCGTGGCCCAGCCCTGCCACTGGAGGCTGTTCAACATCCTGCTGGGAGCCGTGTACATCTTCTGCTACATCAACGTCCAGCCTGGTCCCTCCAAGCACCGCATGGCTGTGTTCTATGTGGTGAGTACCCAGGATGTGGCTCTGGGCAGCCTGGTCTGCTGGTTGGTGACCCTGCACATAGCAGGGGGGTTGAAACTAGATGAGCATTGTGGTCCTTTTCAACCCAGGCCATTCAATGATTCTGTGAATATCTATATTGCAAGATACAACATACATCATCAGGGGCTGGAAACCAGGTGGTTTGCATCATCAGGGGATGTAACGATGGCTCTCTGCCCTGTAGGTAATGCTGATGGAGAACACGCTCCTGCTGCTGCTGGCCACTGAGTTCCTGCAGGCAGAGATGGGGCACAGCCTACGTGTGAGCTGGGCTGCCATGGCAGGGGCTGCCCTCGGTGAGAGCACTGCAGTCTGCTGGGTTGCATGTTTGGAGAGCAGCTTTGGCAAATTCCTATCGTGTTTGCTTTATTTCTTCAAGAGCTTATTGGTTATTCAATACTGAGTTTCATGGGCGTAAGTAAGAAAGTGTTGTAATATCAGAGCGGTGAGGTTGGGAATGGCCTCCCAGTAGCAAAGAAGTGTCTGACGAGGTCCCTAAAAGCGATGATGGTGGGGGTTTGGGATTTGAGAAGGATCCATCCCATCTCACACACACACACAGACTCCTGAACTGGGTGCGGAGGCGTTCTTGGAGCTGATGTCCAGTGGGAATGGGAGGTTGCTATGAAACTGGTCCTGCAGGAGGAACAGAGGGTGCCCTGAAGTGAGATGTGGTTGGAGGACCAGCACACCGCAAGGTATTGCTGCCCAGCAGTATCTTGGCAAGGAGAAACCTGCTCTCTCCTGTGCACCTCACTGAATGCAGCCAGGATTCATCCCTTGATGCTTTCCTGCTCTTTTTGCAGGTGTTGCAGCCGTGGTGGTTTATTACAGCCTGCTCCATCCCAAATCCTCCAAGATCAGGCAGGGCGTCCTGGAGAACTCCAGCTGTGCTGCTGGCAATGACCAGGCTGCTGGGAATAGCTCCTGCATGGGGCAGAGCTGGGGAATTTCAGGAGATGGAGAATCCTTGCCTGCAGAAAGGACCACAATAACTCCTAAAACTGGGAACAGCTCATCACTCTTCCAGCTTGGAGGGCGTTCAGAGGATGGATGGTCAAATCACCACCATTGGCTGCTTGTGAAGCTGGCCTTGAAGACGGGAGACGTGTCGAAGATCAACGCAGCATTCGGGGATGCTGGTGTGGGAGAGCTTTACCCTGATGGGTGGGAGATGGGAACACCCCAACCTGGGGCTGAGCCTTCCCTCCCCACAATGGAAATCGCTCCTCAAGGCTTTGGATTGGGTCTAGTAGAGGAGAAGACGGTGGTGAGGAATGGAGGAGGCAGCAAACATGAAGTCAGTGCTGGAAGGGACAGAGGAGGGCAGGAGGCTGCTGGCCACTCTGCCACCCCTTCATCCCACAGCTCCTCTGCATCCCTGCCTGAGGGCTCCTCAGTGTACTTCAGTGCCAGCACAGGTGGCATCACCTCTCCTGGTGCAGTGATGGTGACTGCAGCCTCCACGGCCCTGCTGCAAGGGGACAGCAAAGCCTGCACTTCCTCAGGATGCCTGGCAGGAGGAATGGGGAGAGGAGAAGATTTATCCCTTGAGACAGTGAGCATCAGCCCCATCCAGGGCTCCTGTGCCCACAGGCACCTGCAGAGTGACTGCGGGGTGGCAGGTCCCCCCGAGGAGCTGTGTGTGGGGACAGAGGGAGTCCTTCTGGGGTGGCATCACCTGCAGGACACCCAGCCCTGTGACACGCAGGGGGTTGTTGGCCTGAGGAGCAAGCTGAGGCCACCACGCTTCACCTCCACCCCCAAAGCTGACTCCAAATGTTCCCAGCGAGGACTGAGGGATGTGGAAGAGGGGAAGGATGTGTCTGGGATGGTGGAGTGACCCTGCACTGTCACCGTGGGTCACAACTGGGGTGGCTGTTTTGCTCAATGAGATGCGATAGGGATGTTCATGCTGACCTCGAAGGCTGTCCCTTTGTGTGCCCATGTGGTCCTTTGTCACCAGGAGGTCTCCTCCCCTCCTGGTACTGCTTCTTCTCTTTCTTCTGGAGAGCCTTAGTGTATGGAAGGGCTAAAAAGCCTGGGTTTAGGTATTTATTATGTTTATTTAACCCTATGGGCAGTTGGAGCATCCTGCCTTTCCTGCATAGGTGATGATGTTGGGAAAGGTGGCCTTTAATAATCATAGAATCATAGGATCATTTGAGCTGGAAAGGACCCTTAAAGGTCATCTAGTCCACCTCCAAGTGACCAGAGAAGCTGCTGCCCAAAGCAGGAGCTGCTCATGACAAACAGGTGCCTAAACCAGAAACATGATGGGTTTTATTCCCATACTTTTTTACTTTGGGGTAGAGCAAGCCTTGCATTAAGGCTCAGCAGTGCTTGATCAGTTCTTCTCCCTCCACAGAGAGCTTGACCAATTGCTGGGACAGCACCGGAGCCCAATTGCTCTACGTATGGCAGGTGACAACCTCAGGACATTGAATTACAGCCATGAGCCAAGTCTGCTGGCTTCCCCATGGCTGTGGGGATCAAGAACTGGTGGGCACTGCCTGCTGCAGGAAAGCCTCCAAAAGGATGGGTGTAGAACCATAGAACAGTTTGTGTTGGAAGGAACCTTTAAGACTATCTAGTTCCAACCCACTGCTATAGGCAGGGACACCTCCCTCCAGACCAGGTTGTCCACAGCCCCATCCAGCCTGGCCTTGGGTGCCTCCAAGGTGGGAACATCCAGAACCTCACCGGGCAGCCTGTTCCAGTGTCTCACCCATCTCCCAGTAAAGAATTTCTCCCTGATATCCATTCTAAATCTGCCCTCTTTCAGTTTAAAGCCTTTTCCCCTCATCCTGGAGAGGTGTGAGGAGTGGTTAAACAAAGCTGCCACGCAGAACTCGCTGCTCACAAGGGCCCCAGCCAGACGTGTTCCATCAGGCTGAGCTGTGCTCAGGAAGCCCGGTTGGGCTGTTTGGGACTGCAGATGCCTTCCAACGTGACAACAGCTCCGTACCTCCACCCCAACCCCGGCACAGCTGTATTTTGCTTTGCTCTGCAGGGAGGAAGCAGTTGCAGCAGATTTCCTGAGCCCCCCTCGCTGTGCGCATCGCACGGAAGGCAGCCGAGCTGTCGGAGCGCTCCTGAAGTTTTGATGCAGTTTGTTTTTCTTATCCTTGACAATATAGAATTGCTGCTTTAAGAAAACAAACCGGGCTTTGCTGTGTCCATGCGTCGTGCCGGGGTGCTCAGTGCCTGCTCATCAGCACGCAGCCCCTGGGGGTTGCAATTGGAGATGTGGGACCTGGCTCCCCTGCTGCCTAACTCCAGGTCGTAGAATCATAGAATGGCATGGGTTGAAAAGGACCACGATGCTCATCCAGTTCCAACCCCCTGCTATGTGCAGGGTCGCCAACCAGCAGACCAGGCTGCCCAGAGCCACATCCAGCCTGGCCTTGAATGCCTGCAGGGATGGGGCATCCACAACCTCCTTGGGTAACCTCTGCAGCCGCAGCTGTTCCTCCCCATCTCCTGTGGGGAGGAAGCACAAGGCGTTCCCATTAACCTGGTGCACACCCACAGCTTTCTAAAGCAGATAGAAAAAATCGACCTGGGGTTTGTCCCCACAGCTCCCCGCTCCTCAGCCACCAGAGGGAGGTGGTGCTCAATGCTGCCGTAGCGCACTCCTATTTCCAGAGGCCGTGCGCCCATCCCGCACCCAGACCGTGGGATGGGGCTGGGAGCTGTGGGGCTGCTAACAGCTGCAGTACCTCCAGTGGGAACGGGTGAGGGCAAAATGGGAGGCTTTGGGATGCTGGAGGTGGCTGATGCTGTGCACAGTGAGTGTCTAGGTGGATAGTGATGGGACAAGGGGGATGGTTTCAAACTGAGACAGGGGAGGTTTAGGTTGGATATTAGGAGGAAGTTTTTCAGCCAGAGGGTGGTGAGGCACTGGAACAGGTTGCCCAAGGAGGCTGTGGATGCCCCATCCCTGCAGGCATTCAAGGCCAGGCTGGATGTGGCTCTGGGCAGCCTGGGCTGCTGGTTGGCGACCCTGCACATAGCAGGGGGTTGGAACTGGATGAGCAGTGTGGGCCTTTGCAACCCAGGCCATTCTGATTCTGTGATTCCATCCCACCACACTCAGCCTATGGTTCTCCTATGCTCCCACCTGACCTGGAATAAGGGATTTCTGCTCATTTGCTTCCGATGAGCCCTTTTTGTTTGCATTCTTGTCAAGAAAACCCCCTGTAGCACTGCAGAGAGGCAGAAGGGACCTCAGCTGTGCTGAACTATAGCAGGAACAGGGAGTGGAAGCCCAGGGCCAGGCTGGACAATGAAGGGAGTGACTGGAGCTGCCCAGAACGGGCTGTGCTGCTCACCACTGATCTGGAAGAAGGAGCAGGAACGAAACCTCCGTCCCTCCCGGCACTAACAATGCCCAGGTGGACATGCAGGTGCAGAGCTGGCACCATCCCCCACAGGTTTGCTGGTTTGGATGTACCCCATCCCTGCAGGCATTCAAAGCCAGGATAGATGTGGCTCTGGGCAGCCTGGTCTGCTGGTTGGTGACCCTGCACATAGCAGGGGGTTGAAAACAGATGATCATTGTGGTCCTTTTCAATCTGGGCAGTTCTATGATTCTATGATTCAATGTGGGTCTGTGCTGCTCGTGGCCGCGTTTAGGCTGGGAGAACATCAAGGGATTGGGGATGCGATGCGTGGCGCGGGGCTGCCCTTCTCCTAGCCCGGCATTACTGTTGGCCGTTTGTTTTTTTTTTTTTGGCGTTTTCTTTTCCCGAGCTGCGACTTCACGCCGCAGTTCCTCCTTTTCGCCCTGCAGCCCCGCGCTCCCCCCGCACCCAGCTCGCGGATTCGGGGCAGCTCGGCGGCCACGCGTGGGGCCGGGAGCCGCGGAGGTGGGGCCGGGGAGGACCGGGGAGGACCGAGGAGGACCGGGGAGGGGCGGCGCCTGCGCGGGGCGGCCGCGGAGCTCCGCGAAGTTGTGCGGGGCCCGGGGAAGTTTGCGGCGGGGCGGGTGGCTTCCGAGTCGCTCCCGGTCCCGCAGCGCTGCCGGGCGCGGCCATGGCTTTCCGGCGACGGGCCAAGAGCCACCCGCTCTTCAGCCAGGAGTTCCTCATCCACAACCACGCCGACATCGGTTTCTGCCTGGTGCTCATCGTGCTCATCGCTCTCATGTTCGAGGTGAGGACCACCACCCTTCCCCCACCCTCCCCTCCCCCCAGCCCTCCCCGCTATCCTCCCCTTTCCCATCCCCACGCGTGTCCGATCCGTTCGTGCCCTGCCCCGTTGGCTCCGCCCACCGAGGACGGCCCCGCCACCACCCGCGACCCCCTTTCCATTCCCACCCCGGTGTGGGTCCCCCTGCGCACCCCAATATGGTCGGGGTGTCCCAATGGCCCCCATAGAGATGAGCAGCTCTGGGGGGGCTGTGGGGCACACTCCCTCCATCCTGGGGCACCAGAGCCCTTTGGGATGGGGTCCCTCCATTCTTGGGGCACCAGAGCCCTTCCATCTTTTGGGGTGGGGTCCCTCCATTCTTGGGGCACCAGAGCCCTTTCATCCTTTGGGGTGGGGTCCCTCCATTCTTAGGGCACCAGAGCCCTTCCATCTTTTGGGGTGGGGTCCCTCCATTCTTAGGGCACCAGAGCCTTTCCATCCTTTGGGGTGGGGTTCCTCCATTCTTGGGCAGCAGAGCCTTTCCATCCTTTGGGGTGGGGTCCCTCCATTCTTAGGGCACCAGAGCCCTTCCATCTTTTGGGATGGGGTTCCTCCATTCCTGAGGCATCCTCCATTCTTGGGGTACCAATTCCTTTTGTCCTTGGGGTACCAATCTCTTCCACGCTTGGGGTGCCAAGTGCCACCCCATTCATTCACCATCACTCTCAACGGTGGGGTCCCCCCTCGCTGAAATCCCAATAAGGATCCCGACTTACGTGCTGGCCATCCTTTTGCCTCCCCCAACCCTTCTGGGGTTCACCAGATGCAAAAGGGCCTCAAGCTGGGGGAGTGCATGCAAATCTTGGTTCTCCTGCACGTGCCCCCAGATCTGCCACTGCTGCTGGGGATGGGATGGGGACGCATCGCTCATCCACCCCACATGGAGAGGAATGCATTGGGAAGGAAAGGAAAAACCAAGCCCCAGTTCATATTTTCCCCCACTGGAAGTTTATTTTGGGGGCTTTTTCTCCACTCCAGCCCCCTTTCCAGATGTTTTCTCCATGGGATGAGCACCGGAGGTTCCACTATGGCAAATCATTCCCCCTCCCTGGTTCTTCCATGGGAAACTCAGTTGTGGTTGAGCAGTGCTGGGAATGCTCTCCCTGCTCCGGCGCCTTCCCTCTCAGCTTCAGTACTTTCTTTCTTTCTTTTTTTTAATTGGAATTTATTTATTTATTTCTTTATTTATACATTTCCTCTTTCGGGGGAGGAGACGGGAGGAGGGACGGAGGCCTCAAGGAGCGCCTTCTCCTTCTCCAGTTCTCCCCGACGTGGAGGCACATCGGGTGGCTGCCGGCCTCTTTTTTGCAGCCTAACAGGACCCCCCGCCTTCCCCTACACACACACACACACACACACCATCCCCGCCCAAACCCTCCCCTTCTGCCCAGTGCCACGTTTCAAAGCAAATCCAGCCGGGAAAGGGGTGGCCGGGGGGCCTGGCGGAGGAGGAAAGTCTCCTTCTGCAGCAAATCGCAGCCGGAGGAAATCCATTTCCTTCTTACCCTCCCGATGGCAGCACACCCCCCCCCACCCTCCCCTTTCTTTTTTTTTTTTTTTTTTTGGCTTTTAATCCCTTCTTTTTCCACGCCGATGGAGCGAGCAGCTCATGGGGCACGGAACCCATGGGTTGCATCGCGTGGGTTTAAGCCACAGCTTCACTGAGTGCAGCTCTGTATCCCGAAACTGCATGCAAACAATGCGAGTTTCGTTGCCGGTGCTTTAAAAGAAAAGCAATTTGGTAAGGTTGTATCTCTGGTGGTTCCCATCTGCAGCTGCATTTTTCGGGCACAGAGCTTGTAGGAGGACGTGGGGTTTCGGTGGCCGCAGTGCTGAGCCCCCCCACGGGGCTGAGGCAGAGCTGGGGGGTTGAGGAAAGGTCTCTTCTTCTTTTATTTCCATAGCTTTTAATTCAATCTCCTGCTTGTGCTGATTGCTGGCAGGGTCCTCCTCCAGGGTGGTTGTGTTGGGCAGCATCCATCGTCATCCTCTCCATAGCGAGGGCTTGGGATGCCTCTTTTGGTCCTCACTTCTTTGTCTTGCTCATCTTCAGCCTTCCCTCTGGGGTCCCTTTGCCCGTTGATGCCATCCCACTGTGCTTTTTTTGGTGCCAGCTTGGACATTTCATAGAATCATAGAATGACAGAATGGCCTGGGTTGAAAAGGACCACAATGCTCATCCAGTTCCAACCCCCTGCTATGTGCAGGTCACCAACCAGCAGCCCAGGCTGCCCAGAGCCACATCCAGCCTGGCCTTGAATGCTCCAGGGATGGGGCATCCACAGCCTCCTTGGGCAACCTGTTCCAGTGCCTCACCACCCTCTGGCTGAAAAACTTCCTCCTCATATCCAACCTAAACCTCCCCTGTCTCAGTTTTAAACCATTCCCCCTTGTCCTATCACTAGCCACCCTCATAAACAGCCATTCCAACTCCAGTTTATAAGCTCCCTTCAGACATTTCTGCCTTTGGATGTCTTTTCAATGCCTGGGTGTCCTCCCCATCCTCCCCATCCTCCTCTCTGGGTTCCCACCTTCCCCATGCGGAAGCAGCGCAGTGCTGCTCACAATAGGGCCGTTTCCTGCAGGGGAGGGCTCTATACATGGGATTTTTAACCTTTTCCCAGGCAGCCCCACTCCAGGCAACACGGGCAATGGAGGTGATGCTCAAAGGCTGCTGAGCATCTCCCACTTCAGAGCATATGTATGATGGGGGTCGCTGATGAGTCACTGAGGGATGTGGGCAGTGGGTGGGGGTGGCTTGGGTTGATCTTGGGGAACTTGGTTATTGTAGAATCATAGAATTATAGAATGACCTGGGTTGAAAAGGACACTCATCTCATCTAGTTCCAACCCCCTGCTATGTGCAGGGTCACCATCCAGCAGACCAGGCTGCCCAGAGCCACATCCAGCCTGGGATGGCTGTTTCCATGGCTGCTGGGCCATTTCCAACCATAATGATTTAATGACATGAAATCCTTTTTGAGCATCCCTTCAGTTCACAACTTCACCCCATCTCCATGGGTTGATAGCAGAAGCAGCCTGGGAGTTGTTTTGCAGCAAGGATTGGGTACTGGTGGTGACATGGGGACACAATACTGCTTTGCCTGCTTGGGTGCTGGGTGCATCCTCATAGAGGAAAAATGGGTTGTGGGGGCATTCCCCCAAAAGGAGCCATCCCAAAAGAGCCATCCTTGCCTTCCCACCCAGCCCAAAGCCTCCATGACACAAAACCCTCCCAGATGTTGTGAGTGCAGTGGAGTCCCTTCTTTGGGACAGCCAAGGTCAGGCTGGATGGGCTCTGAGCACTGAGCTGTGGGTGTCCCTGCTCAGTGCAGGGAGTGGGACAGATGGCCTTAAAAGGTCCCTTCCAACTCAAAGCATTCTATGATTCTGTTATTCCATGACTCCCTGGCTTTTGCTGTACAGATTGCATGCAGTCACAGTCTCCACCAAAGCCCAGTGTGTAAAGTTTAATTTTTTTTTAATTTTTTTTTTTTTCACCAAAACCAGCTGAAGTTTGGAAACACAAAGCAGCTGCTCTCCATCCTCACTTTGCATTTCTTATTTTCACTGTTTGGCAGAAGAATGAAAGTCAAGCTGGGCTTGGCTGAGCCTGCAGCTGCCCACCTTGCTCATGCCCAGATTGGGGAGCACAGGATGGGGTCGGGCAGCATTTGTGCAAGTTAAATTTGGGGGAGGTCGTGCTGTTTTGAGGGTTTCTTTAATACCTGAGCTGGAAGGGCTATCTATTCGTGGGTTGTGAGTGGGGCTTTGTGCAGGATTAACTTTTCCATGCTGCCGTGGTGCCCTGCTGTGGGGTGAGCCATGTGTAGGCAGAGGGGCTGCACTGCCCTTGGAGGAGGGCTTTTGGGAACGGCTGCTGTTTACTTTCCGAAGCTCTGGTCCAAAGTTTGGCCTTTGGTTTACATATAGAGCCTGTGTCAATGCCTACCACGGATCAACACGGCTTTCTTTCAGCAAACACTGCGGCTGGTGGAAGAGAGAAGAAAAAAAAAGAAAAACAACAGAGAAAAGTCTTCTGACAGCATTTTATCTGTAATTAAAGTTGTTTTTCAAGCACTGGAAATATTTTCCCAGCTCGGGCTGCTGCAGCTCCCCCAGCCTCCTCCAACAGCTCAGCAGTGATCAGAGGCTGTGAGAGCTGGGACTGCTTGGCCCAGAGCAGGGGGGTCTCAGGGGGTCTCACTGCAGCCATAAATCCTCAAAGGAGATGCAACGGGATGGGGCTGTGCTCCATGGAGCCTGGGGCAGCCCAGGGACACAGGGCACAGCCTGGAGCCCAGGAGCTGCCATCAGCAGCACTGCTGTGCTGGGTGGGTGCCCAAACCCTGGCACAGGGAGCAGAGAGCAGTGGGGGCTGCCCAGTGGGGGGTTCCCAAAGCCACCTGGATGTGGTGGAGCATAAAGGACTTCCTATGTGGTGTCTCGTCCTTTGCAGTTAAATCCCACTCCCCTTGTAAAATTCCAGTATCAAGATCTTATTTCAGTGTGAACACAGCGAGTGTCTTCCTGCTGCAGGTCTTGTGCCTCTGAATAATCCTCGCCTCGCCAGCTTCTTCTTTCTGTGGCCTATCCACAAGCTGCTCAATGGGAGCTTAGAACTGTCTGCTTCCTGAACTAAGGAACCCTCGCTTCTGCCTTCATAGGATCATTAAGGTTGGAAAGACCAGTAAGATCATTAAGTCCAACCATCGGGAAGATGTCAAGGGAGGTTTTGGTTGGGTGTTAGGAAAGATTTCTTCTCTGAAAGAGCGGTGATGCAGTGGCACAGCTGCCCAGGGAGGTGGTGGGGTCACCATGCATGGAGGTGTTCAAAACCATGGGGATGTGGCACTGAAGGACTGGGCAGTGGGCATAGGGGGATTGGACTGGGTGATCTTGGAGGTCTTTTCCAACCTGAATGATTCAAGGATTGAAGAATGGAGGGATGTCACTGGTGTCCTGGTTGCTGTGTTCCTGCTGGTTCGCACCATCCATTGTGTGCTCCATCTCATGGAGCTGCTACTCTGGAAGCTGCCATTCTGCCCGTCCAAAGCTGTGTTTGGGCCTTTAGAAAGCCTGAGGGCCATCTCCAAAAGCCACTGATGCAGCTCTGGTGATGCACCCCAGCCTCCCTGGCTGGTTCCAAGACTTCATCCTGGAGATGGTGCTTCTGGTTGTGCTGTACTCCAGGATGAAGTAACCTTGCTTTCTTTGCCAGCAGGGCTTACAAGAGCCAGGAGCATCTCCTTAAGCCAGCCAGGCGATGCACTTTTTCCATAACCGTCCCAAATTCTGCCTGATGTCTCCCTCTCCTTGGGCACTGTGCTCCTCACTTCTCTGTTCCTCCGTCAGCAGAGCCCAGCAGCATTTTGGCATTGGGGCAGCTGCATCAGCCCCTTGCTCAATGCCCTTAGGAACAGGATGGGAGTGCTTGGCAAAGCCCCTGTGTTTTCTCCCCTAGTAACTACGTCCTGCAAGACATGAAGCAATCCTTCCAGCTGGGTTTTTAATAGTTCTCAGCTCTTAAATAGTTGCAACTATGCCTGTGAAGCTGTCTGTCAGCTGTGGCACTGTTGGGGTTGGTTGTATGAGAGGCTGGAGGCTTGTGAAGCCCTTTGGCTGGAGGTAAAACCCTGCCAGTACGCAGGCTTGGACAAAGACAAGGGCATGGTCAGAGGCTGATGTTGGGTTTTGGGATGTGCCAGTTTTGGAGCTTCTTTGGGGTACAAGGATGGGATGCTCAGCTCTGCCACAGCACCACAGAGCCTTCTGCTTGGGTGCTGGGGTTCCCTCCCTTCAATTAAAAGCAATAATGAAGAATGAACAGCATACCCTTCTTGGCAGAGGACCCAGTGTCTCATGTCTGGAATTTTATTTTCTTTGGTTCATTCTGGAGAGTAGAATGGATGGGTCTGAGGGATGATTGTAATTAACACAGTACGTAACGCTGCAGAGCTTGGTGGGACCACAGCAGTGGCTGGGTAACACTTGGGGTGGATGGCTGCTGCTGAAGGGGTGCTCGTCCTCCAGGATCAGCTTCCCCACCAGGCTTTGCTGGCTTTTCCAGATTTCTCTTTCTTTTATCTTCCCCCTTCCCAAATACTTGGTTCCATTGGGAAGTCTTCTTTCCATACCAATGCCTACACACTTCCCATCTGCCTGCCTCACATCCCCTTTCCCAGCACAGTAAACGTTGGCAGAGGAATGAATTTAGCAATTAAATTTGCTTTATGCCCCTTTTGTGTGTCTTTGACAGGTTACAGCCAAGACTGCCTTCCTCTTCATCTTACCTCAGTATAACATCAGTGTGCCTACCACAGGTAAGAGATGCTGCTGCTCCGGGGAAGGAATCACCCCAAATCCTTGCTGCTGGCTGCCATGGCCTCACCTCCCAGTGATGGGTCTTCAAACGTGAGAAATGTGGCGAAAAAAGGGTTTGCTTGTGTTTTGGCTGCTCATTCCTACCTCGCAGCCACAGTCGGGGCTGTGAGCATGGTATGGAGGCAAAAAAGTGGTTTGGGTAAAGCATGGAGCTCAGCATGGGGCATACACTTGGAACACACAAAGCCTGGCCTGGCAGCAGGATGGTGTGGCTTATTGAAAGGTGTTGAGCATTCCTCCAGTTGAAGAGAAGGGTGCAACAAGAATAGGATGAGGCAGACACAGAGAAGATGGAAGGGCAGCCCACTAAGTCATGGCTGAAGGACTCACTCTGCTCCCAAATTGAATTGTGGTCTGTGTTCCCCTACAGCACAGTCCAGACAACTTCCTCTCCTGCGCCTGAAGTGATTTACTCGTCTTTAGCCTTGCAATTTTATCATATACTGTGGTTATAAACCCTGGTGGAGGCATTAGCTCAACTTCTGGTTTTGTACAAAGCCCAGAACATAGGGACCAGGTCGTGCACATCTTCACACCAGCTGTCTTCATAAACCCTATTCCAACGTTACTAGGATACTTCCAGTCTTAAAAAAAAAATACGGGCTAAAGCTTTATTTGAGGGTAAAGAGGGTTGATGACAGATCAGATAGTGAGGACTGGGGAAAGGGGAAGCAGCAGCTTGGCAGGGCCTGAGCTTCACGTTGCAATGCTTTCTGCAGCTCTCCCCAAATCTACTTCTTGCTCATAAACTGCAAGACTGCAGATAGATACCGAAATGCAGACTGTGGGTGTAGTTGGGGTGCTGTTAGGTCTCCCATTGCTCTGGAAGTGCAGGCTTTCCACGAGTACTATTTCTCATCCTCTAGCCCCATGCTGCTTTCTTGGATCTCTTTATAGCACGTTACACCTGTGTTCAGGCAGCTGAGTCCTGCTTCTGAGTATCACCTCCCTTGAGGTGTGTGACAATTAAGGAGAAGCTGTCCCCACGCTGCCAATGACCTAACTCAAGCTGAAGCCCTTTTTTCCAGGGCTTTATTCTAGCCACGTGGCCACTGGCATAGTCTTGACTTCTCTCTGCCTCCAAAATGCATGTTCCCATCCAAGCTGTGTTGGTTGTAGCCACCACAAGGCTTCAAGTGAGCTATAAGCCTTGGAAATCGTTGGCATTGGGAGGTCTTACCCACAATTTGGTCTCTTTGCAGATGGGGAGCTGGTCCAATATCACTACGGTCTGAAGGATTTGGTCACCATCCTCTTCTACATCTTCATTGCCATCATCCTGCATGCAGTGGTACAGGAATACGCCCTGGACGTGAGTGCAGTTTGGTGTAGATGGAGTAGATGGATTGTCTCAAGTACCATGGATGGGACACAGTCCTGCTGCAATTGAATGTGGCTCTGGTGTAGTCCAGAGGCTGGGGTGGCCATGTATGAGCCTTCGTCTTTGGGCAATGCTTAGGACATGGAGGAAGAAGAGGAAGGAGATTTGCTGACATGGTGGTTCACATTTTCTTTTCCTTTCTCCTTTCCCTCTGCTTCATCCCAGAAAATCAACAGGCGTCTCCATCTGTCTAAAGTCAAACACAGCAAGTTCAATGAGTCAGGGCAACTGGTTGTCTTCCACCTCACCTCTTTGATTTGGTGCTTGTACGTTGTGGTGACGGTAAGGCATGGGATTGGCTGGACTTCGGGTTTCCTGGGGGGAATTTTGAGTTTCTGGTGAAGAAAAACCTCAATGAAAGCAAAGAATCCCCCATCAGCCCTTAGGCAGATGGTGTTGGAGAGATCAGAGTGTTTTAGCAATGAGGAGGATTTGATATGCGTTGGGGTCTCGCTGTGGTCTCTGGCCATGCTGGAAATGGATGCCTGGGGAGAGGTCCCCTCCCTGCTGCTCAGGGGATCTGACAGCCCTCTTAGAGGACCACTGTCACCTCCAGAGCAGTCCCTTTGGGAACCTTTGGGCTTTGCTCCTGCCCACACTGCACAGAGCAGGTCATCCTTTGCATCCCTTGCCCCTCTCCTGGGCATTCAGGAGTCATGTCAACCAAAAAAAAGTCTTGGGGCAGTGAGGGCACAGGTGATGGTGACAGCTGGCCTCAGGCAGGATGAATTTTCCATGCCAAAATCTCTTTGCAAAACCCAATGCAGACCCCTGTGGCAGGAGCTGTGCAAATGCTCCTGTAATCTCTGTGAGTGCAGGGGAATGCAGGCGGGTGGAAAATCAAACTATGCGATGCATATTTAATTGATTTTGTAGGCGTTTTTTGTTCCTCTTTCTCCTCAGAAGCATTCCTTCTCACTAAGTGATATTTGGGCTGGAAATGACGGTGGGGAAAAGCCCCCCAGACCATGCATGTGGTTTCTTGCAGCTGCACTACTGATATCTCATCCCAGTGTTTCCAGAGCATCCTCCTTGCATTGCCCAAACCCTAAAACATCCTATCCCTCAGCTCAGGACCTTTGGTGCAACCACAGACACAGCTTTTGTTACCCAAACATGAGGATGTCATGAAACTAGAGACCTGAGAACATGTCTGAGCTTGGAGAGCTCAGTCCTGGCTCATGCGGGGGACGTTAACCTTGCCTCATTATAACCACGTGCTGCCTTGTTCCTCTATCTGAAGACTTGCCTCTCTGTTTCAGGAAGGATACATATCAAACCCCCAGAGTTTGTGGGAAAACTACCCGCATGTTTATCTTCCGTAAGCACTCACATTTTGTTCTCGGGCTGACTGCTTCCTTCCCCCATGCCATTTTCCATGTGGCTGAGAGCGGGCTGCTGGCAGCACAGAGCCCTTTGCATGCAGCAAAATCCTGGTCAGGGGTGGGCATCTCCTTTGGGGCTTTGGGGAGGGTGTTCTTGAAGGGCTTCCTCATGGTTTAGTTACTCATCACCTTGGGTAGGTTACTTTGCTCTTCGTTTTCCATGGTAGAAACGAAGAAGAGGGGGTAATTCTCCCTTCTTGGGGTTTTGCAAGAGTGAGATTTGCTGGGGATGTGGAGACCACAGCACAAAAATCTGGGTGAAGTCCAGACTTGGCTAAATGTAGTCCCCTAAATCCAATGGCATCAGAGCAGTGAGGGGATTGCTTGGGGCCACAGGAGCCCACAGTGCCCAAGGCTCGCTCCACAGCTCATCCCTGCCTTCAGCTTCCAGGTGAAGTTCTTCTACCTGTGTCAGCTGGCCTACTGGCTGCACGCGTTGCCAGAGCTCTACTTCCAAAAAGTTCGCAAGGTGAGAGCCGTCCAAGGGCTCCAGGTTCCTTGGAGCTTTGGGATTTTGGGGGGGGGGAGGGAGGAGAGGACAGAGTGAGGAGATTAACACTGCTTTCTGCCCTGCCAGGAGGATATCCCACGCCAGCTGCAGTGCATTGCGCTCTACCTGGTGCACATTGCTGGCGCGTACCTCCTCAAGTGAGTCGTCTACCTCTGTGTTTTGAGCTGGGGCTTTTGCAGGGTTTTCTATCCCCAAATTCTTTGTCTGGGGCTGAGAATCCAGGGGGATAAAGTAAATAGCCTGAAAGCTGTCTTTGTGAGTGATAAACTACTGGTTCGTTGCTTTGATGTTTTGGGGTCAGGGATTTCACCATTGCGATCTGATCATCTGCTGCTGTGGAGCTGTCCAGCTTTGGTCTGTTGCTTACTGCAGCTTACGGATGGAACATTCTGGATGTGAAAGACCAAAGCTGACCAGCTTGGTGATACTTTTTCTTTTCCTTCCTTCTAGTTTAACCCGCTTGGGGCTGATCCTCTTGCTGTTGCAGTATTTAGCGGAATTCTTCTTCCACATGGCCCGGCTGGTCTACTTCACAGATGAGAACAACGAGAAGCTGTAAGTGGGAGGGCTGGCCATGGCATTCCATCTCCAGTGCCCTCTGGGCTTTTGCTGTCATCTTGCAGCTCAACACTGGGGGACACTGAGAGTGCAGCACGCACTGTATCTCCAGAAGAAGTTGGGTTGAGGTTAGGGTGGGGAAAGTTGGGAGCATTGGAGCATCTCCAGGTCAGGAAGGGGAGATGTACTAGGGCAGATGTCTACAAAGTGCTTCTGCACCATGGTGCATGCTGGTAGTGTGACCTTCCGCTGAGAATGGGGCGCTTCCTATGGCCATGGGGCCCAGAGGCTGCTCCTGTCCACATCTCTGCTTGCCTTCCATCAGGTTTAACGTCTGGGCTGTTGTGTTTGTGGTCACCAAGCTCTTCACGCTAACCCTCTACATCTTGGTCATTGGCTTTGGTCTGCCACGCGTGGAGAACCAGGCCCTGGAGCCAGAGAAAGGGAATCTCTTCAGCTTTCTCTTCAACCATATCCTCTTCAGGTAGGAATGTCCTGCACCATATCTGTTCCCTCTTTGCATCCTTTCCTGTGAATATCTTGTGAAAATATTTCCCTCATATTTGTTGAAGGAAGAAACCAGTTACAAAGGATGAACTGAAGCAGACACCTTAGGGAAAGACATGCGTGTTCTCCCTTGTGGACCCATAACTGTGTATTGATGTGGTCAATGAAAAAGGAGTTTTTCCATCTGCTTGTATGTGTTTGGATGCCTGTTAACATGGGAAGCAGGGGATGGGATGGGCTCCCTGGCTGTGGTGTTTTGGGCAGTGCTGATTGAGATGATCCTTATAGCTCTGTACAACTCTATGAAAGGAGGCTGTGGCAAGACGGGGGTTGGTCTCTTCTCCCAGATAAGTGACAGGATGAGAGGTGATGGCCTCAAGTTGTGCCAGGGGAGGTTCAGGCTGGATGCTAGGAAACATCCATCTGTCCAGGGGAACCTGGGCCACCGGTGTGGGGTGAAGGCCAGGCCAATGGTGGCCTGGCTCCTCTCTTCTCAGCCTTGCCTCTTCTCCGCCCCTGCCAGAATGAGTGTGCTGCTGTTGGTGTGCCTCTTCCAGGCCTCGGTGATGTGGCGCTTCATCCACTTCCAGCTGCGGCGCTGGCGGGAATACTGGCACGAGCAGAGCAGCCGGAAGCGGGCCGCGGCCTGCGCCAAGCAGCCAGCCAAGCCGCTCAAGAGAGACTCGGGTGAGCAGGGAGCACTGGGAAGCAGGCTGCCCAGAAAACTGTGGGTGCCCCGTCTCTGCAGTGCCCGAAGGCAGGCTGGATGGGGCTGTGGGCAGCCTGGGCTGTGGGAGGTGTCCCTGCCTGTGGCCCTTGGATGGGCTTTAAGATCTCTTCCAACTCAAACCATTCTATAATGATATATAGAATATATATCAATATATGATTCTGGCCCGTGCAGGATGTCGTGGGTGAGGTTTTCTTTCTCTGTCCCCAGGTTACCATGAAAATGGAGTGGTGAAAGCGGAGAACGGCACCTCGCTGCGAACCAAGAAGCTGAAATCACCCTAGAAGAAAGGCCTCGGCTCCTGGGGAGGAGGGCGAGGTGCCAGGACTGAGGGCAGCCCTTCCTCCCAGTCCTCACAAGGTTGTCTTGAGCAGCTTGGGAGCAGGTCGTCTGCCCGAGGTGTCTCTCTCTCCTCCCTTTCTTTCTTACTTTCTTGAACCATTTGCAATAAAACCAAAAAGGTCCCTTTCCCCTGCTCCTTTCCCCTGTAGGAGCCTTTTCCAAGCCTCCTGGTTTTGCCTTCCTCTGTTTCACCGTAAATCAGTGTGCAATTTTATTATTTTTTTTCTATTTTAGTGTTTGGTTATTTGGGATTTTTGTTACAAATGCGTTGTAGATGGTTCCGAAATATTTTTTTGCTCCTACAGCATGTTTCTCCCCTCTCTCTGTGTTGATTTCCCCATCTCCTGCTTCAGGGCCATGGTAGTTTGAAGGCTCCATGTGTCAGCTATGGGAACAGGCTCCAGGGGAAAAGTACGGGGACTCTGAGACCCGTGAGGTGCTCATGGCTGATGGTTTCCCCTCATGGGGCACTCCAGCCAGCACTCAGAACGTGTTGCATGATGTCAATGCTGCAAATAGGGACTGGTGTCTGAAGGAGGAACCTCTGCTGTGTCTTGTCTCTCTCTGGTTGAGTGGGGTTCCTCCAGCTCCTGGCTTCGAGCTAATTTTGGTGATCTAGGAAGCAGAGAAGGTGATCTAGGAAGCAGAGTTCCCTCTTCCTACAGGACCCACATCCTAGCCTTTGCTTGCCCCAGCTTTTCTGGTACAGCTGGGTCCTCTTTATCCTCTGGATTGCCCTGTAATTGCTCTGCACCTCCCAGCACTGAGAGCTGGGCTCAGGGCTCTGCAGCTCATCATGCCTTGCTGTGGGGCAGTGACATCCTCAGGTCCAGGTGAATCCTCGAGTCCTGCCCCACTCTGAGCCCTGGCCTGGCTCCTGTCAGCCTCCTGTGCCTCAGACCTGGTGCGCTCATGGCTCGTCACCACCTCCAGACAAGCGAAGTGACTGCTGCAAAGGGTTTTGCATTAATGGGACTGTGCCCCTTATGCTTAGCCATCCTCATTCCTACCATGTCAGTCCAGCTGTGCCATCTGCAGCCACCAGCTTCTCTTTCTTTCCATAGGATACACAGCTTGTATCCACCCAAGGTGCTATCAAATGTAGGGTTTCTTCCAAAAACCCTAGCCCCTTCATCCCTTTCTGAGCTGTGAATGAGATGACAGGAAGGAAGCCAAGGGCTATGAGAAGTAGCTTGTACATTAGGAAAGGCCTGTGAGACATAGCTGTTGGCAAATGGAGTTGTCTTAAATCTACCTCAGAGGCCGTCTTTTGCTACAGACCACTCTCCTTCTTGCACCTCCCTGACCTGAGGTCTGGGGGAAGCCCAGGTCCCACTGGCTTGCTCCCCTTTGCTGGTGGGCAGCACCTCCTGCCCAGGGTTTTCACGGGTCAGTGGGCTTCCTTGGGGTCTGTGCACCAGTTTGGATTTGGCTGATGGGTGCTTCTCACCCCATAGCTCTTTTCTGGGGTGCTTTCTGTAGCCAGGCTTTGCTGTTGGTGCCTCTTGTGCAGCAAAGTCAGCTGTAGCTCCCGGTGTGTGGGGTTGAGGAGAGCCTGGCCACTCTTTGATATGCAAGGCAGGATGGAAGCCCACCTTCCTTATGGGTGGTGGAATGTGTGGTCTCATGGCATGTCACTTGCTCAGCCCCTCCGGGCATGATTCTAGCTTGGGCTTTTTGCATTGAGGCTGGCACAGTTGTCTTTTGTATCTTTTGTCTTTTGGAGAGTGAGAGACCAGTTGTTTGTCTGCCACTCTTTGAATGGAGTTGCTCTTTCCTCCCTCTTTTTGTCGATGTCTTTTCTCCCTTCCTCCTTTCCTTGCAGAGCCTCAGCTAATGCTGGGCACAGGAGGGAGAAAATGTATAGGGACATGAGTACAGTTGGTCAGATTCCACTTGTTCCTCCGCTCCCGTGACCTCTGAGTGTCAAACAAAATGTCAGCAGGAGTCTGGAAGAAGGTCCCCCTCTTTGAGGGGAAGTGAGGAAGGAGACTTTGAAGCTAGCGCCTCACAACAGCTGAGGATTGGCTCTGTTAACAGATGACACATACAATCCCCTCAGAAACCGGCTGCTGAATAATTCCTCTTCCTGCCTGCTTCGCTTCAGGCAGCTTTTCCACTTGCACAATCCCGTGTCTTCATAGAGTAGCTAATTATGCCTTGTATCCCAAGTGCCTTATGTTGCCGTGTAGCGTCTCGTATGCTTGATCTGTGTACTATAGCAGCAGCTGAACGCCCTTTCTCCTTATGACATATGTACAACATACGCTACATTTATGTATTTTTTTTGTTTTAGATTTTTTTTTTTTGTCTTTTGATAGAGCTACCAGTAAAAGGGACAGTTTGTTTTGAAAATATTTCCATGTTTTCCTTCTGTTTGTTTGTTTTTTTTCTTAAGCCTAGAGATGATGTTCTTTTTTGCCTTCGTCTGTCTTTAATCCTCTGAAATCTTTCCTTCTCCTGTTATGCCAAAGCATGGCATGACTTCTGTTGGTTATTTAGTGCTGAGCCTTTGCTATATGGCAATGAGAAGTCTCATCCTCGAGGTTTCCAATCTGCCCCCCGTTGGAGGGGCTGCCCCGAACTGCTTTCGTCTCTGGCTTTTAGTGCAAACACCATCTCTGCAGTAACTGCTTTTATGTCCATGGCATTTCTCAGCAGGCCAAGCCTTCTTTTCAGCCCAAAGAACTTTCACTGCAAACAGTTAGTGGTCAGTCTTCCCTTGACTGCTTTGTGTGCAAAGATGCTGAGACCCTCTGTCATTGACTGGATGCTCTTCTTGCATCCCATCCTGTCAAGCCCCCTGTCATCTGCAAAAAAAAAACAACAAACCCACAACCACACCAACAAACCCAACCCGAAGCAAGAGCTGTTTTCTGCCACAGTGCAGAAACCGATAGAGACTATGCAAGTTCCGACTTTGTGTAATTATTGCTTGCTCTGCACCCTTCCTATGGGCTTGAGGCTGATTCTGCCATCTGTTTCTATTACCAACATAAGGTCAGGGACTGAGTAGTCTGTGATTTTTAGTGTGCAGTGTAGTGTTCTCCTGTCCTAGCCTAGAAACTTTTGAAATACTGGCAGTAGTTCTCTCTTTTTGTTGCAGAGAGTTCAGGGATGGGCTTGGGAAGAGAAGAGGGTTGAAGAAGAACAGATGTAGCATTTCACATATAATTTTTGAGTGACTCGTACTTTGTGGGGCATTACAGATATGTTGTTTTGTTTCTTTTTGTTTAGGATTTTTCTTACTTGTGTTTGGGTTAGTGGTAAAGACAAGTTCCAGTTCCTCTGTAGGACCCCTTACCCTTATCTTGTTGTTTTAAGATGTATTTCTGATATCCTTCCCTGTCGGAGGGGAGGACTACCCCAGGATTCTCCTCTGACCCCGAAGTTATTCCCAAGGCCTGTTGGGAATATTTCCCATATTCCCTATTGCTGCATGGGGATTTGCAGCAACAGCTGCTTCTTACCTTGGATGAAGTTTTGGTAGATGGACCCTGACATGCACCAACAGTAGGCGGAGATTTTGGGGTCTGATTTACAGCCTTCCTGGAAGCTTTGTGAGCATGTAGTAGATGGTTTTTTGGCAGGCTTTGTACTCAAACTGTGAAGTTTGTTACGTAACCTCGGGGCTGTGGGTGGGAGTTTTGCTGGCAGAGAGGAAGGATGGCTGTTATGAAAGCCTGGCGGAGGCACGTAGCTTTCCTTCAGGTATGTTGAATTCCATGGACCAAAACTTCAGCAAAAGGAACTCGAGGAAAATTTTTGTTCTTCCATATTCCAAAGTTTTAAATTTTGGAGAGGGGTGGTGGGGAAGTGACACTCTCCAATATTTTATCCATATCTCATTTGTTTCATTCTTCCTGTCACGTAAATTTTTTTTGTACGGTTTATGTTCGTTGTCGTTTATTGTTCAATGACTTTTGTGATAAACTCAACAGAAGTATTTTCTGAAATAAATAAATAAAAGGCATAGATTCTTCCATTACTGCTGCTTGCTGACACTTTACCATGCTGCTAAGTTAAGAGAGCAGGCTGGGATGGGTCGTGCTCCTCTCCCTCCTGCCATGCTAGATGTGTCCATAACTTTGGTCCTCATATTCCCCATAGCTAGGGCTCATATTCTTGAATTTCCCATATCTACAGCATGGGCAACTGCTTCTGAGTTAGTTATCAGTGGGTGCCTCGCTTGCTGGGAGTGGAGGATATGGGCATTTGTAGGATATGATTCATTTGATGTGGTTTAGGTGCATAGTTTCTGGTGAGCTCAACTGTATGCTGTCTGCAGCTGGCCCTGGGCATGCTGCATGGTTTGGTTAAGTATTAGGTTACAGCTTCGTAGCATGTGCAGAAAACAAATTCTCACTTTCTTTTCAATTACAGCTCCTGTAATTTCATCTGCAAGTTGTTGGGCCTCTGGAAAAGCTGTTTAGGGTGGCTGTTAGAAGTTAGTCTTTTGCAGCTGCTGCTTGGAAGGTACCTCATACAACGCCAAGCCATGCTTTGAAATCTGAGATGGACCTGAGATTGCTTTAACAATTCTCAGTCAGAGAGAAGAGCAGCACAAAATGGGCCCAGAAGGGAAGAGAAGTGACCTTTCCTGAACAAGGGGAGGCAGTGGAAGTGGGAACCCACAGCACAAAAAGCTGAGTTAAATAAGCATTTTGTTCTCTGTGTGCATGATAGCTGCCCTTCGTCTGCGCTCAGTGGCAATACCTGGCAGGTGTCAGCTGGGCTGAGAAGGTTCCTGCTATGTTTCCTTTCACGGAGAGATGAGCAGTCTGAGCAGAAGTGTCATAGCCCTATTGCTATGCCAACAGTTAGTTTTTCCTTTTCATTGGACATATCCTTTAAGATGACAGGTTGCATGAGCTGGGCTTAGATATAATCTCAGTTCTAAAACCTTTCTCCTAAACCTTTGTTAAAAAATGCAAAGCTGCTGTCAGCACATCTGTTTACAGACCCTGCAATTTCCATTAGATATGTGAGAGTAAAGCTACTACTCCATTTCAAGTAAAGCCAGAGTCAGAATTGGCTTTGTGGTGGTGTTTTCTTTTTTTTTTTCTTACTTTAATCCTTAGTTATTCTAGTCATTGAGGTACATTTATTTAAAGCATACTTTTTAACACTTTTATAGCAGCCATGCATAACTTTCTTATAGTCACGCTAGCAAGCGTGCATTTATTATGATTTCTTACAGAGCTCTAAGGTCTTCTTGCAATGTAAATAAAAATTTAAACTGGCAGTCTTCGCTGCAGGCCCCTTTCAACTCTGTATGAAATCTAGATGCTTGTCACTCCAGGCATTAGTTCTAGCAAGTTGCCGTACATCATTAAAAAGTTGAGAGATCAATAGAAGAACCTGGCTGTAGTTCTCCAAAACATTTCTTTTTTTTTGTGGGTTTCATTTCAATATTCAGGAGTTAAGAGGTTGAATTTGGTGGCAGCAAAAATGGCAGGAGTAGGTTGGGAAGATAAAAAGTTATCCAAGTGAGGGTGAAATTAGGAAGGAAGGAAGGGAGAGAGGAAAAGAAGCAAAGATAAAAACCAGAGCATCCTTTTTGAAGTGCGAGGTCTTACAGTCAGCTCAGCTAAGGAAATTATTGCTGGTCTTGTGCTTCAGCTTCTAGGCGAGGATCACGAGGGGAAGGCTCTAAGGAAGTCACGGTAGTTTATCTTGTCATCTCCACAGGAGCACAGGTCAATCAGCTGGGGGGAAAAAAGAAGCAATGCCAGAAAGAGTTGAAGGAACCTGCAGACATGTTTTTGTTGGGAAAAGTGCCCGAGGTACTCTCTATGTGACAGAGCAGAAGAGCAGACTGGCTCTGTACACCTTGAGTGCCTACAGCTGACACTAACCTATGCAAGGACAAGAGTTAAAGTGTTAGGGTTAGGGTTTGCCCTCTAAGTGTCACCACAGTGACAACAGAGCCACAAAAAACTGAACTGTGGCCAAAGACTGGCAAAGGCCACAGCACATCTTTCAGAAACCTCATAGAAATCCCTGCCAGAAGCAGGATGGAGGCCCCACATCTGAACAGGCGCTGTTTGGTGGTGTCTCTTCGGTATGTGCACATGGCATCAAGTGGAGACACAGATAATTGAGCTCAGTGACAGCCCTGCTAATGAACCAGTTCTGGTATCTATGCCTGACCCTGCATTGTGTTACAGAGCTATAGCCTTTGTATGCTTAAGGGGAAGAAAGAAGGCTTTTGTTTCCTTAATTGCATAACTAATCTCCTTCTGACACCCAGGGAGATGGAAAAGGTCTAATATCAGAGTTCCTTGAAAGGATTCTTCTTCCCCTTGTCGCCTGGAGACAGATTTACTAGGTTTGCTCTTGTGTGACTGACAGCTGTGCTCCTCTCCAGGCCACACAGTAGTTAACCATCTGCCATATGTTTCATTTACAGTGCTGTCATGCTCCTATGGGCTCTGGGCACATTCTTATTAAGATTTCAAGAGAGATGCTTTTAGTGCTAAGGTCCTAGATGGAGATTCAAACACAGGGTTTGAGCTCAGACTTTCCTCTTCGACTCCCATTCTTGGCATAAGAGAAGGAAGAGCAGTCACCAGCTAGCTCCTCAAGGCAAAAGATCTCCAGTGGACTCTGGTACAGCAAGGATGGGTGCTGGCCAAAGGCCTCAGTGCATTCAGTGCACATTCAGAGACATCACGTGCGTGTGATGCACCTTTCTAACTATGTCTGTGATGCTCACAGTTGGCTGTGTTAGAACATGTTTTTCTGTCAGGGGCAATACTCTCTCTGGTTCCTGGCTTTCTTTAAAGCATGAGTCTGCCTTTACTGGCCCCTAATCTATTGTATATCACTTTATGCTAAGAAAGCATCCTTGGCAGTCATGTTGCTGGAAGCATTCTCCCTCCCCTTTACAGGAATGTTTTGTGGCAGTTTCTCTCACGTTTCCTCTTAGGCAAACTGATCTCCATGTGCTTTCACTCACTGTGCCCAGCAAGGCTCTGCTTCAGTTGGGTTAAGTTAATGGCCACAGGGGGCCTGAAATATGGCAGCAGAGAAAGTTAAGTTGCCTTGTGGGCTACAGGCTTGCTGAACTTCAGCAAATGGGCACAAATGCTATAACCTGCAGAAAGATGGATCATAGGCTGACTTCCCACAGCATGATCAGGCTGCCAGATAAACGTGAAAAGAGCTTGTAATGGTTATGATTATTTTTTTCGTTGTAAAACACTTAGTTCTCAAATCTTCAATTCAGCTGCTGTTAAATTCACGATGTGTCTAAGCTTTCATAAGGGTGATCCCTAAGCATCTCAGTGTCATCTCTACTCATGCCCAGGTGTGCCTAAGTCACAACACTCAGTAGCTCCACAGGAACCTATGCTTCATCTCCATCACAATTTACAACCTCCTCTTCTGCTCATCTCTAAGGCTTGATCAAGCCTTTCATAACATGCTGGGGACAACCTGCACTACATAAAGGACAGGAACTGTTATTTCCTCCTTTAAGAGAAAGGTTCAGTCCAAAGCTCAGAAGCCTTTCTGAATTGGGATTCTTTCACCCTTTTCTTGGAACTGTTCCCCTTTGTAGGACAGAATGGCTGTTAATTCAGCTTGGATCGGGTTGGTTTGTAAGACATCTTTCAGAACACTATAGGGGGTGAAATTCAATATGCACAGAACCCCTTCCTTCTGACCTTGTTAACCAGAACGGCGCTGGTCGGCACTTTCAGGCTGTGACAAACAGATAAAAATTTTGCTTTGTCAAGGAAACCAGTCTCATCCTTGTCACAACGAAGTAATGCCTCCCGAATGTTACTGTAGTTCAAGTAGTTATGGAGCTTCAGCTCTTCCTGAACCCGTGCAATTAGTTCATCCAGTTCCTCCTGCTTGCTGGTCCCTGGAGCAGGGACATCACTGTAGAAGGAAAGAGAAAATAGAATTTCATGTAAAAGTTACTTCTTACAATCCTACTGTGATGGGGCTGCCCCCCATGGCTGATCAGGCTGTATTTCTGAATACACAGCAGGCTTCTGGGGTGTGTGTTTTTTATGGCAAGCTCACCTCAGATTGAACTTGCAGGTGAAGATAAATCCTGATATTGGGCATTAGGGAAATTGCTTTCTGTCTGCATGACATTTGCCTTGTGCACCAAATACTTCGGAACAAGGAGGGTTTGCTTGTGTGTTTTATGTGGTCCCAGGAACTGCATGCAGCTCAAGTTTCAACCAGAGCCTCTGAACTTCCACAAACTGACTCTAAAGGGTGTCTGGAGGTTACAGGACTATTACTAGGTGGACTAAAGTGGGTCCAGACAGACAGCTAAAATAGGGGATGATGTCCAGGCTCTGACAGGCTGAGAGCCAGAGCAAAAGTGAAAACGAATCCACCAACCCTTCTCTGAGCCTGCAACTAGATGATAGCTCATGAAGATACTGTTAGCAGCAATTATCACAGTTTACTGCTCCCTTTTGGAAAAAAGATGACTGCATTCATTCACATGAAGGTGTCTCTGCTGCCAAGCCAGAGCTGTTCCACAAGGTTTTTGGGTCAGCGACAGCTGTGACATGATATTGTACAGTCTTGACCACCCGCTGTATCTGTTCAGACACATCCTTGGAGCTGAATAATCAGCGGAGCAGCCACTAGACAGCAAACTGGAGCCCATGGAAGCTGCTGGAAATCCCCTTAGTTGTCAGCCCTGAGTCTCACTTAGCTCCATATGCCATCCTTTGAAGCCTACCTTTTGGCAGTCTCCTCCACCACCTGCCGTGGGTGAAAATGATCCCTCATGGACTGTAGTGTTGTCGCAGGAAAACTTTCTGCATTGCTTTCCATATAATTGAGCACATATTCATCAGCATCAGTGATAACAAATCTGTGGCCAAACACTGTGGGAGAGGTATTAAAGCAAGAATGTATCTATTTTCCTAATTATGTCTACGGTCCACACACTGACAATAACAGAGTTACATCAGTTCACACCAGCAGGTGATCAGGAAACTGAACAGCAGTGAGATCCAGAAGGTACAGATCTTTCAAATGATGGAAGGTATATATGCTGTCTGTGCAATAAATGACAGATCAGGCAGCGAAAGCCGATGCTCAGAGAGCATCACCAAGCCAGACTGGATCTTACCTTCAATGGTAGAACCAATGGTGAGGTCAGAGGGCCCATAGTACTCAGCATTCTCTGTAGTAGAGCCTGGTTTGGCAACTCTGGTCTTTTCTAAGTATTTGCCTCCAATGATGCCAGAGTTACGGACTGGTGGTTCATAGATGCTGATCATATCATTGGAGAGGAAATACGAGAGGATGAAGCGACGCTTTGCGTCCACAGGGTTTGGCGATTCCTAGAGGAAAGGTAGTGGCTTTGGAAAAGAACATTTGAACCATGCCCAGAGTTTATAACTTTTTTTTTTTTTTTTTTTTTCCTAGCTGAGTAAAACTAAGCAGCTGATTAGGCAAAAATTGCATATACACTGCCACAGCATTAAATACCTGAATTTCAAAGCTTACTTGCTCTAGTCAGGCTAACAGAAGCAGAATTTGGGCTGCAGTGACTAAGAGCATTCAGTATTTCCAGACTGAGCAATCCAAGAGAAAGGAATATCCTATGGAATGATTCATCATGCAGAGGAAGACTGGCTGTAAAGTTTAGTATTAAAGTTATGTATTTCATTTTAATGATTGCCTGAGAAGGGTAGGTGCTGCTTTCAGCTCTTACTCACAGGAAGACACTCCCCTGACACACCACTGGTTTTACTTACTTAGTTTAAAATAAAGTTGATCTGAACTCATCAGCTGTGACCTTTAGGAACTCCTGCACAATAGGGAAAAGAAATCAGCCCTTATTCACCCTGAGTGTTTGGAGAGGGCAGGCACCAGGCAGCACAGGAAATGCCATCGCTGTTGCTAGACGTGCCAGAGGTTCCTTGCATAAACCAGCTGCAAAGCTGGTACAAAGGCCAAAGCCTGAACACTGTTGCTGTGGGTGGAAAGCACCATCCCTGTGGACTCCTCTGCTTCTATACTGACACTTGGCTGCTCTGCCAGCACAGCCCCTTGCTGGCTGCTGCAGCTGGGACTAGCCTGGAGAAGGACAGGTGCTGGGATCCAGCAGCAGAGAGACAGCAAGCTCATGCTTGTGGCAGCAGCTGGAGGCAGGCAGAGGCACAGAGCCCAGCTGCAATGCTGTTTCAATTAGGGCCATCTGTCACGTGCTGATGTCAGTGGGAGTTTTTCCATAAATGGCTCTGGTTTTGTAGCACATCTATTTTGCACTGCCTGGCCTTGCTGTTTTTTTTTTTTTTTCCCCTCCTACCTTTGTGTGCCACTAATTATCACAGCAAGCACACAATAACCCCATGGGATCTCCTCAGGGTCATGCGCTCTTTATTTCTTGACCCACCAGCACAGAAGAAAATTTGCTACCAGCCTTGTCTGAGCAGCATATTCTCCCATTCTTCTAACTCTACAACATGAGCTGATACATGCACAATATCAAGGAAAGGACTTACCAGGGCTACCTGGTATCGCAGCACTTTGTGGTCATTCTCTAGCATTTTAATTACATCTTTCCGGGGAGGCTTTGGAAATAGAGAATAGCAGTTCTGAAGGGAGTCTTCAAGGAAGCCGTAACCATTATATGGAGGAATTACCTGCAGTCAGAGGGGATACCAAGTAGAAAGAGCTGAAACAAAGAATACAAAAATGTTTGCAAGGCAAGCTTATAAGAAAGCATCTGTTTGAAAAGACCTCTTCTGTCACCAGGTGCCAACAGCTGTGACATCCTGCCCAGCAGAAATGCTCTAGACCAGCCATGTGTTGGATCCACATCCCTCATCTATAGAAATATTATATAAGAGCTAAGAAAATCTCACCATCAGAAATCCAGGTAGATTTTCTGAATAAAGAGACTAGGGGTAAACTAATAACTAACCCTTCCTGTGTACTGTAACTCAATCATCTGTGTGGTTATGCTATTAACCTAAGCCCCATCATGTCTGTGGACTGGGCAAACTAATGCTCCATTCCATTCCTTCAGAGGTAACATGGCAGTGACCATCTCCAGTAGGCATCTGGGACTCAGCAACTCTTTTTTGGAGAAGTGAGATAGAGTTTAGTGGTATGACTGCAGCCAGACCATTCCAGTTAGCACTGCAGCCAGAAAACAAACCCTGACATATAATTTTCTAGTATAGGCATAGTCAGAGTGCCAGTTCTGTCCTTTACATTATTAAAAATTGACATTTTTATTTTCAATTTCATATTAATTTGACTGTCCATCCTTGGCTTGCCTTCCTTGGGTACTGCATTCCATTGTAGAGTCCTCAGTACAGGGAGATGTGGACCTGTTGGAGAGCATCCAGAGAGGGGCCCCAAAAAATGATCCCAGGGATAGAACAGCACTCCTATGATTACAGGCTGAGAGAGCTGGGGCTGTGCAGCCTGGAGAAGGGAAGGCTACAGGGAGACCTGAGGGCAGCCTGTCGGTATGTAAAGGGGGGGTATAAGAAAGAAAGGGACAGACTCTTTAGCAGAGTCTGTTGTGATAGGAAAAGGAGGAATTTAGACTGGATATGAGGAAAAAGTTTCTTATGATAAAGCAGGTGAGGCACTGGCACAGGTTGCCCAGAGACCGTGGGTGCCCCATCGTTGCAGACAACCAAGGTCAGGCTAGACAGGAATCTGAGCACTGATGGAGCTGTGGGTGTCTCTATTCGGTGCAGGGAGTGGTACTAGATGGCCTTGAGGGTCCCTTCCAACTCAAATGGATCTATGATTCTATCATTCCTCAAGTTGCTCTTTAATTTAACCCTTAGCTTTCTTTGACTTACTCTTTTACTTGCTCTTTTCTTTAAGAAGAAACAATACCTTACTACCAGAGCATACATGGACTGCAGATTTCCCTTTCTTCCTTTCAAAACTGCTTACAGTACCTGTGGTACTTCCTCAGGTGGCTTCTTCTTTATCTCCACTGGTTGGAAGTCTGTGATGCCAAATTTGTCACGATAGAAGTTACGTGTGAACTCATCGCAATCGTAGATGAAGAATGTGCGTCCAAGGAGGGTGGTAGGTTTGCCAACAGCAAAATCTTTAGCTGTGTACCACTCAAGTACCTCCTGATCAGAGATTTCCAGCACACAGCTTGGGAAGGTCTCTAAAGACAAGGGAGCAAGAGGGAAAAAAAAAACACTAAGCAATCAAGTAAATGTTAATATTTCTCAGTGAAAAGGTATACAAAAGAAAGCTGTATAAAAATCTCCAGAGAGCTGTTGGTAGTGCTCTGCTTCCCAGAATACAGACTTCAGTGATCAATGAAAGAATACTCCTTTGGCCAAAAACTGATGATACCTGCAGCTCTTGAACTGATGCACCTGTAAGAGTTTCCACATCTACATCCACCCACCAGGGTGCTTTAGCACAGAAGTGCTGGCTTCTCTAAACTTACTTTTCTTGTCCACAAAGGTTTTCGGCAAGCGTTGGCGTTTTATGAGTACTGGGAATGGGTCTCTGCCATCATTGGGCTTGTGGACTTCCCGAACCTCCACTGTGTCATCTGCCAAGTAGTAATGGATGATATAAGGTCGATTCTCACCAAACATGCTGTTTGTGTCATCCCACATGGCGTAGAAGCGAAGGACCTGAGGTGGATAAAAAAAAAAACAGAAAAAAACAAGCATGGATTAGAATTACTAAGTACTTTGTCCAAATGATTTTGGCTGAAATAGGACAGGTGATTGGAAGTAACTCAGCAGTCTTCTCTGCCAAGTACAGAAGAACCAAGCCCTTGTACTGTGAGCACTGGGATTTTTATAATGAAACTTAATAAAGTGAGGCAGAATCTAATTTTGAAGGTTTCATAGCAAATATTGAGGTTTCATGGCCAATTCTCTACCAAAGGCAGAGGGATATGACTGTAGTTGTTCTGATGATATTGCATTCACTCTAGATCCCATCTCACTGCTGTCTACAGAAAATGTCTTGTTTTAATCCAGGCTGGATATGGCTCTGGGCAGCCTGGTCTGGTGGTTGACGACCCTGTACATAGCAAGGGGTTGAAACTAGATGATCATTGTGGTCCTTTTCAACCCAGCCTATTCTATGATTTTATGATTCTATTCTGTAATGGCACAGAAATCAAACACCTCACACTGCAATGCAAAGTCCATTACCTACTGTTTTGGGATTGCTGCACATAGCGGAACAGCTCAAAAGTTCCCCAAGGTGCAGCTCCTAACCAGGCCATCCAACAGCTTCCAAGGAGTTGGCTCAGACTTGAGTCATTAAGGCTAAACTATCAGTAATACAGGGGGCATAGCCTAGCTTACATCCAAACAGTAAAACTGCTTGCCTTACTCAAACCAAGGCAACCATATCCAAAACAGCAACTGGATATGATGCTGGCCTATGCTAATACCCAGCTGATGTCCAATAACTGTTTGATTGATAGTCAGGGTTGAAAAGGACCTCGAACATCATCCAGTTTCAACCCCCTGCTATGTGCAGGGTCGCCAACCAGCAGACCAGGCTGCCCAGAGCCACATCCAGCCTGGCCTTGAATGCCTGCAGGGATGGGGCATCCACAACCTCCTTGGGCAACCTGTTCCAGTGCCTCACCACCCTCTGGATGAAAAACTTCCTCCTAATATCCAACCTAAACCTCCCCTGTCTCACTTTAAAACCATTCCCCCTTGTCCTATCACTATCAACCCACATAAACAATCATTAACATTGAGCCCTGTTGTATTTAGTACTATATATAGTGGTCTATAGGGTTTCTTACACCATTGTTAGATGATAAAAAGAAGGATAAACAGGAAGAAGAGTGTTAGTCAACTGTGTGCACAGGGAGAATGCAGTCAGAACATTCTTGCATTTGCATTTATCTGAAGCAGTTCACTCTAGCACCTAGCTTCAATGTTCTGGGGGAATGTAGCATACCCATTTCTAATAGAACAACATCTGGCCTGGTCTGCTAACTTCTCAAGGCAGGTATCTTATGTCATCACAACAGAGAGCAAGAAAGAAAAGGAGGATCTTTAGAATGGGCTCTGCAGTCCAAGGAGAAACTGCTTATAAGACACAAACTTAACCAAAAAGATAAAATATTTTGTTTCTCACTAAATATTTGCTCAAAAAAAGGAGTAAATCCGGAGTCTGTCCAGTGGATTGAGATCTTTCAGAATGAGTAAAGTTGCAGGCGCTCACAAGATCTAGATTTCTGTGACACATATGGGTGATCGCTGCCAGATCACTCACCTTCTTGTCGTAAGTCAGAAACTGCTTGAGTTGGTCAAAATCTGATGGTGTGATGTACATTCGCATGGGCATCCGACGCAGTTCTGTGTAAGGATCAAAAACCATTTTCTCTGGAGGGTTCAGTTCAATTCCTTGGCTCTCCAGGAATACCTAGGAAAGTCATCTGATGTATTAATGGCTGACTTGAGTTCTGAAGATAAAGGATGGGCTGAAGATATCTGAAGATCAGAGATTACAGGTTGACTGAGATGTGTGTTGCCAGAACACTGCAAATTCTGCATAGCTCACCAGCCTGCAGGGGTTTTAGTTCATTGCAATAGCAAATACAACAGGGGACAACTAAGATGTTTCTTTTTAAGCTGTTTTTAAGCTTTGTCTGCCCTTCCATCATGCAGGGCAGTCCTGCCTCCAACATCTTCAGTCTGATTCTACTTGAGTACAATTTTCCTTGCCTTTGGGGCATTAAATGGAGGATAACAACCAGGTTGGTCTCTTCTATGTAAATTAAAAAGATTACGTTAGTACATAACCATGGATGTAGGCAGTCTGAATTTGCAAGAGATTCAGTGTTCTCCATTCTGTCAGACACTGGAAGTTTGTGTGACCCACACCAGGCCCTCCAAGACCCCCCTGACCAAAAGGATATGTGTCCAGAGTAGCAGCTTCAGTTCATCTGCCAGGAGAAGCACATTTCCCACAGAAAGAGGACAATCTGTTTGTTTATAAAGGGATTTTTGACTTACCTTAGATGCATAATCAAACTCTAGGGTATTACTTGTGCATTTACCTCAGTCACCGAAAACAACCACAGAAGTCAATGGACTTCTTCCCTGTTTGGTCTTGGGATGTGGCCTGTGAAAATATCCAGCTTGGGAAGCACCTGTGCAAACATCTCCAATGGGCATGTGAGATCACCCTGAAGACTCACAGGGCAGGTTTACACTTTCAGGCTCTGATCTAGAGCATGCCAGTTGATGATAAATAGACTGGTGGCCTTGAAATGTAGACCCACATAGCTCATGCCATGTTTTCCATCAAATAACCAACATTAGCAGGAGAACCAGATCTTCATCTGATGTCAATTGACTTTAATGGTCATCTAGTTCCAGCAGAGCAGATCCCACATGCACTCAGCAAATACGTATGTACTAACATATTACATGATTGGGAACATTCCTGGGCACTGAAGCCAACTGGCAAGGATCAGCCTGCATCTAAACTCACTCAGCCTCCAGAACAAGTTGGCTGCATGGAACTCATCTATTGGGAATGGTCCCTGGAGTGCTGAAGCTCTTGAACTGATCCTGGGAATTGCTTGAAAGAATAGGGATTGGCCAGGGCCCAGGTTGCACTGGGGACAGTCTAAAAGAATACCAGTATATTGGTATATGTTACTATTAGTTACTGTGTTGTTGTGATTTAATGTAAGTGGTATACAGAAATAGCTAGGAATAAAAAACAGGCAATGAATAAGCAGTCTTAGGTCAGTTTATATTATGATTCTAAATCCACTGACTATGCCTGTTCTTCTGGTTTGTTGCAGATGAGAGCAGAGTTATTGACAGCATTCCCATCCCCTATTCTTATCAGAGGAGTATTAAGCTGGAAAATAGTTAAGGTCAGTAATTTCCCTCTCATATATGCACAATGGTTCATCAGGACTCTAAGCATCTAAATTGCTGTACAGACAGAAGTTAATTAAACCAATTCTCTTAACCCGGAAACAATCTTAGAATTTGTACTGTAGGGTGCAGTCTTCAGGACAGAGAATGGTGCAGAAGTACTAAACAGTAACTGTGCTCACTGCAAATATTGTACCTTGAAATACCTATCGTTATGAGGAAAGAAGTCTCCACAAAATGTAAAATGAAAGATCACAAGCAATCTCAGTGTGAGAGCTACAGATAGAGAATACCAGACTAGATTCTAACAGATCTTGCCTCATATAACTCCTGATATTCTTCATGTCAGTTTCTTCATACAAGGAGCTCACCTGTGTGAATGGGTCACAGTCAACGATGCGGTATGTTCTGCCATACATGGTGATGTTGATGCCTCGATTCAGATCCTTCCAGTGGTAATGATCCCCCTGGTCATTCTTGGGCACACGATGACGTCTGATAAGTTTGCCTTGAGGAATACCAGAGTTCTTCACAACAGGCTCTGTGACAGATATGGTGTCATCTTCCAAATAGTAATAAATACCCACTTGGCGAATACGGTAATGCTCTTCTGTAGAGAGAGGAACATCTTCCTGGAAATAGGCATCAAACTTCAAAACCTGCCAGGGGAACAAGATCCCAAAGGGAGAGAGAAAGAAACAAATTGAACACCACGGTTAGGCTGTTAATCCAAAGAAAGTATTTGCAAAGGGCTTTGGCAGTGAAAAATTACTGGATTGTAATCTATCAGAAATCATCAAAGCCAGCTGTTAGCCCAATCTGTGAACTGATGATGGAGGCTTCCTGAGGGCTTTTGTCACCATTCGCCTTCTCTAAGTTTGGTTGCACAAGACATTTGTCATAAATACAGCACTTTCTTTTCTCCATGATCATCTGCTATTTTACCTACTAACTGAGTGCTTGGTTACTGTCAGTAATCTAGTTTACAGACATATCTGACTTTCTTTCAAGGGTCTGCAAAATGATCTGGTGATTTTAGTTAACAGTTTGATGATGTTCGTGGTTTTGAGGACCTGTATTATTCATTTGAACTCACATCTATCCAGCACAGGCAGGAAGAGGCAATCTGTTCTGGATGAACAAGGAAAGAAATCAGGACACACAGGAAATGCACACTGCATACCCTGCCAAAAGCCAGTCACTCTCAGTCCCATGAATGAAAGAAGGACAAGGAATATTGCCTTCAAGAGCATTCATTGCTTCTAAGAGGACGTAGGTGGGTAATCAAGCCTTGCATACCCAGCCTACATCAGCCCACTGACCTATGTAATCAAGTAGCTACTACTACAGTTTGAATGAAGGGACAGGGAGGTATCTGACATTAAAATAGCAACATTTACGTGACTCTGAAAGAATGGCCCCTGAAGCAATACTAACACAGGACGTCTGTCCCCCACCCTGTCTCCCAGATGGGTTGTCTTTCCAGACCTGCCTGGCAGGGTGAAACCCCTGCATGTGCTCAGGGCTGCTAAGCCTTTCACGCTCTGCAGGGACTTTTCTGGCTGCAGCTGCAGTCTGTGCAACCAGCACATTAAAAGCAACGGTCAGCTCCGGATTGCAGACACAGAGCCACCTCCTAGTCTGACAGGATCACCAAGATTTAATGGAGGAAGTAAAGCTGGAGCAGCAGGCTCTAACACGCTGTGGTGACAAGCATGAGCATATATAGATAGACCAAAGCTAGACAGTCTAGCAGGAACTCCAATGCAGAGAGACTTCACAGTTTAAGCTCAGTTACAACCTCAATACACTTTTGGAAATGCAGGAGGGCAGGCTGTGTTTTACAGGGCAATGGTTATAAACTGAAGCTTTTCAGAATTAATCAAATTTCTTTTCAAACTCCTGCTGGAAATGCTCCGGCGTAACTCGCAGGGAATGTCTTACATCGTTTATGTATTATAATCCTCCTCCTGAGCAAAGAAAGCCTCTTTCAGACTGGGGTTCAGCTGTCTCTGACTAAGGGCTATGGCATCTGAAAACTGCTGTACGCTGTCCCATGAACCCTGGAGCTGACTGTTTATGTCTCCGAACTCAGCCAGCCGATATTCCTGGAATAAACTTCTTTATACCTTTTTGTCAAAAGCCACGTGTGCTGGAATGAAGCCTGAAGGAGGAGCCTTCTTGGCTTGCCCATAGGTCAGCGTGGGTCCTGTGTTGGATAATTCATCTAATTCAGCTTGAGAAGGCTGATTCACATACAGTCGCTCCCCGCCGATCCCCACCGTTGGCAGCCGAGAAAAGGCAAACCCATTTTTGTAGCCCAGTGTCTGCGAGCGATGAAAGGATGTTTTCTGTGGAAGAAAATCCAGCTGTTAAAATCCTACATGCACTTAGTAGATATTGCTACTGAAAGCACAGAAAAACAGTGACAGTTTGATATCCGGAATGCCTTCACAGTAATTTATTATAACCTAATGCAGCAGTTACTTAATGCTTAGATCAAGAAGGCTGAATAAACAGTAAGTGACTGGAGGAACAAAGCATCAGAGTCAACTCAAATCCTTGTGCTGGCACAGGCTTACCACAAGCCTCAGTGTCCAGAATGGGCCAACTGCACTTGATCTGCCCTAATATTTATCTCACAAACCTTTTGTTCCCTACTCTGTGCTACAGCAGTGCAAAAGTCCAAGGGACCTCACTCTGTTATGCCCTATGATGCTCCCTTGACTACTGCATGAGGATAGCTGTGCACCTTCTGTGCTTTCTGTTGCTGTTTTGTTAAACCTCTCCTGGGGATTTCACAGGATTTCCCTTGCTGCCTTAAGTCAAGGTGTGTCATGCTTTCAGAACTGGAATTAGGAAACACACTGAAGCATATCAGTTCTCCCCACAACTTATGTAAGGGGTCTGCATGTAAAAAAACCACAACCACAGAGTGAGATAGCAGATCCGTGAGAATCCTGTTATGACAAACAGAATTCTATATAACATTGACAATAGGATTCTCCTGTTATTTTTAGCTTTGTTGGTTTATTCTTGGTTTTGACCTTCTTAGAGCCCTTTCCTGTCTTTGCTATCTGCTTCATGTCAGCTATCAAGCCATTCTTCAAGTGAAATAATTATCCATGTGTCACTGGAAGGTCCCCACTTTGCTTATGGGCACAGAAGAAGGCATCAGAGCTGTGAATAGGATGTCAGCTCTGTCTGCCCAGTTGTGTTCTTCCCTGCTGAAGAGGAGGATTGGACTTGGCTGGCAGGAGGCTACTCAGCTTGCAGTACAGCCCACATCTGCTGCTGAAAGCATTTGGAACAATGTGTGGCTGGCTGGTCCCACTAACAAGGAAAGCAGGAGAAACTGTGAGTCCATGAGCATGAGCCATCCTTGGAAGCATTGCCTCCTCCCTGGAAGCATTCCAGACCAGGCTGGATGGGGCTGTGAGCAACCTGGTCTAGAAGGAGATGTCCCTGCTTGTAATAGGGGGATTGGAACTGGATGATCTTAAGGGTCCCTTCCAACCCAAACTATTCTATGATTCTATGATAAAGTCTCTGCCTTTACTTTGAGTTTTGCCAAATCAAACAGAATTGAAGGCATTTCTAGCCCTGAAGGAAAAAGCTTCAGCTCCTTTGCCAAACTTAGACTTGCAGTCAGTCCAACCTCAGGCATGTGAACCACTTCTCCTCCCCCCCCTCACTCGCCCCCCATGGTTAAGCCTCTAATCTTATTTATACCTTCAAGGCCCCACTTGAATTTCATGTCATTGCCTGTTTTCTCTCTGAGCTGGTACTACACATCTTGCAGTGCAGCTAGAAAAACACGTTCAGGTGAAAACAAGATAGTTTATTGGAGACACGTTAACAGAATGTTTCATAAACAGCAGCCCTGCCACAGGATTGCCATTCCTTCCTGTTCAATAAATACCAAGGGAAAGCTGTGGAAATAACATTAAAGGAAAACGAAGAAGTTTGTCCTTAGATTGGCAATATCAGTGCTTGTCAGAAGCACACAGGCTTTTAAGGGCATGAATGCCAGGCTACATCTCACAATATCAGGTGAGTAATGCAAAACTGAAAGGGAAAACCCAGAATGTAAACTCCTAATCTCAGCTGCTGCCAACCCATATTGGATAAATACTACTGAATTAAGTATTTCTTGCCATGTCTGTAGAGCTTCATACAAACACTGCTTCTCCTCCCAGGGTCTCAGTTCCTTAGAGTGCATCTGAACACTAACCAGTAACTACCTACATTATCTTATCTGAATGCAGAGGTTTTCTACAGCACGTCTCCAAATTCACATGAAAAACAAGAATTATGCTGACCTTTTTATAGGCTGGAACACAGAGGCAAAGTGAGGTGATAGCACTCACTGAGCAACAGTGCAAAGACATTTCTGGAATCCAGATGTCCTTAAACATCATCAATAGGGCAATATTTCCAGTTACTCTAAAATAACAATCTGCTATGCTAAATCCTGTGGGTGTTTCTTCTGCACACAGCACCACTTATGGCAGTAGAAGCATTCACATGACTAAAGCAGGTGGAGTTTTGCTGATAGGAGAAATAATATTTTGCTAGGGGCAGAGATTTGCATTGTAAATTTCTAAGTCGTTACTGAGAATAATGCTGAGATAACCTTTATAACTGCACGATTGAGAGTATTTGTTATGAGTGAATGACTCCATTTACTGTTGAAAACTCAGTCGTCACTGACTTAGAAAACAGCGTGACTGTTTGTGCTGGAAGGCACCACTAGGATTGGTACAGTGGAAGTTAAGAGGTCCTGTGAATGATATGGGTAGAACAACTTTGATTGACCTGCAGCAAGGCTCACCATCCCTTCAGAAGGTTTACCCTATCAAATCCCAAAGCCAGGATTGGGTTTTAACGTAACGATATTTCTTTTGTGGAGAAGGATCTACAAGAGGTGTCAGGAAGACATGGAAGGGCTTGCCCTGGAAGGGTTAGTTTTCAACAGGATGATCAAAGATGTAGAGTACTGCCCCAAGATTTTTGTTTGTTTTGCAGTGGAGAATGCACAACAAAGGATCACATGCAAGTGCATGATGTTCCTTATCCTGCAATGCCAGAGCATAATGGGACCTTCCTAGGTACTGGGAGGAAATGGAGGAGCCCACTCTTAAAACTATTAACTTCCACAAACACATCAAGCATGTCCTGATGTATCCATTTCCTACTGAAGGTTGTGAAATTCAAGGACATTGGTTTCTCAGGCTGCCATTATAATAGCACTGAATTACAGTGCCAAGACCTGAGATGTTAACTTCCCATGGAGAAGGAAGTGCAGAGTTGTCAGGTGCTCCAAAACAGTACTGGAAGGAACTTGGGGAGTATCACTTTTCATCTGTGGTACAGCTTTTGCAAGAGGATATTGGGAGCATTTGGGGTTATCAGATCCTCATCTTGTGGACTATTGGGAGTGGGGAAAAGGAAAAATTGCTTCCTTGTTTAGGTATCTATTCAAATGCAGAGGATGAAGCTACTTTTTCCAAGGAATATTAGTACAGCTGAGAAGTCTCACTTCCTTGAGAATCCTGGAGGCTGCAGTGGTATCAATTCAGTGGAGGGATACCAGTTCTCTGAACAGACTCTCAGTTCTCAGGTTCCAGAGCATCAGTTCCATACCGCCTATCAAGGATTAAATTCTCCAGGGGATATAAGGAAGGCATTTATGGAAGCATCAGGTGACACATGGGTCTTGGCTCAGGGCAGTATCAGAATGAGAAGTAGGCTCATAGAATCACAGAATGGCCTGGGTTGAAAAAGACCACAGTGATCATCGTTTCAACCCCTTGCTATGTGCAGAATCACCAACCACCAGACCAGGCTGCCCAGAGCCACAAAAGAAACAGAACACATCATTTGAGAAAACTGAGTGGTATAGAGTCAGTGTTGGACTAATGCTTCCCTTGGAGTATCATATGAATTGGCAGGGTAACTAAAGAATGGATTCAGGGCTGCTAGATCTCCCAGGGTTAAGTTTGCAGATAGTGGTTCTGTTTTGGGAAACCTTACTCTCCAAAGCTATCAGGAAAGTTTAAGGGGACATCAGGTGGGTGCAAAATGCAATGGCATCTCAGGGATGAATTTAAAAGCACCAAGGAGGCTGGGCTCAGCCATATCTGCTTGTCTGAGAACAGGCTTGAAATTGCATTGGGAGAGCTCAGGGAGCTCTTGTGGATGAGGTCAGGGGAAGCAGGTGGGTTCAGTGAGTTCAGTTCCCCAAGGAGTGAGCTCAGCAGGCAGCTGTTAGCTTTGGAAAAAACCAGCTTCCCTGGGAAAAGTGTTCAGTGGGGATCAGATCCCTTGGGTGAGTTTATAAGGATCTCAAGTCCTTCGAGAGTCACTTTAGTGGATATCCTGAGGGGTGTCAGGTGACTGGGGCGTAAGGTATTCACAGGAAACCAGTTCCCCCAGGGAGTTTAGGTTAATTGAGGAGGTACCCAACCTCTTGTGGGGATTAGTAGGTGGTCCGGGCAAACGGCAGGCTGACTAGGATAGGCCTTTGAGGAGATATAAGGTGAATTTGGAGATAACAAGTCTCCTGGGGAGTTAGAGAAGGGTCTGAGGGAGTACCAGGTTCCCTGGGAATGTGCTCAGGGACACCAGGCTTCCAAGGGAACCAGACAGGCACGGCTCGCTGAAAGGACCCTGGAGCAGCCGGGCCGTGCAAAGGCCTCACAGGGCTCCTTCAGCAGGGCTACCTGCAAGACCAGGTAGGGATTGGGGGTACCCAGGATGGAAGGGGCCTGAGGCACCGCTGCCGAGGGTTCCCGGGAGCTGGACTGACCAGGGGCTGCGCTCACCATGGGGTCCCTGAAGGAGCAGCCCGGTAGGAAGGGCAGGCCCGGCCTCGGCTCCGAGCTCATGGCGGCTGCGCTCGTTTCAAGCGACGCGTCTCCATGGCAACCACGGCACGCCCCAGTGCGCATGCTCACTAGCCAGAAGGCGCATGCGCACTGAGCCGCGTCTTCTGCTTGGCGCATGCGCCCTGAGCGAAAGGGAGAGGGGTTGCCGTGGCAACGGGAGGGCGGGAGCGGCCTTGGCCCGGCCGAGCGCCCTGTGGGGCTGGGCCTCGGATGCCACCGCCCCCGTTGTGTGCAAAAGCAGCTGCCTTGGGGCCGGGGGAGGTGTTGCTGCTCGTATTTCTCTTATTTGAGACGCCCTTCAGCCCGCTGCAGGCTGCAGCCATGTTCCCCTCGCAGTTGGGTCTGTGTGTGTGGGGCTGAGACATGCCTATCTCCAGAACGGGCTGCAGAGCCTGCCCTCCTGAGGGGACAAAAGGAGGGGCAGATCTGTACCTCCGTGCTCAAAGTACTCAGTAGGAAAAGAGCTTGTGCTCATTTACCGTCTGTTGTCTATATACATACGTATTAGCTGTGAAATAGCGGGTTGTAACACTGACACGGGTTCCCCTCAACGTGAGTTTTCACGTATAGGAAGCAGGAAGGGAAAGTTCCCGTGGAAAAGTTGCTTTAAGTGTAACAGATAGAGGGAGTCACATCAGTCACCACAGAGAAAAAGAGGGTTTTGTGTTTCTTCCCTTTGGTGCCTTTAAGACAGAGCAGGCTGTGATTCACAGGCAGGCAGCAGGATCTGAGAGCTTGTAAGCAGAAGTCAAGCAGAGAGAAGCACAGAGACAAAAAGCAGCGGGGAGAGATAAAGGCGTCTGATGAGCTCAAAAAAGGGAAATAACTTGAAGGCCAAGCAGGGCTGAAAGGCAGCAAGCAGACAGTGAGGAACTTGGATGTGGGTGTTGGGGCATAAGCAATCTCTCTGATTTCTCCTGCTGTGGTACCCAGACATCATTCAGCAGGTATCCTGGGCAAAACAAGGGCCCATACCTTCCTCAAGGAAGGAACTTTCTCCTTGGGCCGTGTGTTATTCTGACAGCTCCTTATGCACAGCTTGCAGTGGGGCAGGAGAGCTGCAATCCCACAGTTTGCAGGGGGGAACTAAAGCAAAGAGAGGCCGTGAGATTTATGCAGGGTCACAGAGTAGAAGCTTCGGCTCCAGACATGAGGAGGGACTGGATCAGAACTCTTCAGATCCTCTGAGTGTTTGAAGGCAGATAGGGATGAAGAAAGTCGTGGCAGAAAGGGGCATCTTTGACACCAACTTCTGTACATTCAAATCAATCTTGGCAAGGTTAAGACAAGCCTTATCATCCTCTTGCATCACTACAACTCTACTCGTGAAAAGCAAAAGGATCAGTGTTTCCTGTAACAAGATTTCTTAGCTCTTATCTGCTTAAAGCCCATGTATTTTGGAGGAAAGGCTGTGCTGTTATGTGTATTCACATGCCTGTAATGTATGGCAATAAAAAGCCCAACCTGTGAATCCCCATGCTACAGAATGGCCGATGTTTCAGTATGCCCTATCTGTGCTGTGAGGGATCCAATGACTACTTACACAGGGTTTGTTAAAAAACACTTTGAAGTGAAGGCTTGCTGGCAGTAGGCTGAAATGTGATACCCACAAGCCTGGTAAAATCAGGGATTCATAAATCAGAATGCTGTCCCACACTTTCTACGCTGCTTTGTTGTCATTTGTACATTGCGCACTTGGATTTTCCCTTTCTTCCACACGCCATCTATCCCTCTGGCTCCAATGGACAAACATTTGATAAAGGTATGTTAGGGTGCTGCTAAAAAATGAGCTTAGCGCTCTTCACTTCACAGCTAGAGGAACTGCTTTTGATTGAGAGTGGATCTTACCTTCAACCTGAACAAAGCAAACAACGTCAGAATAAATAAGCTATCACTGGGGACAGCTGCAGAGTTTGAGACCCAGCAGGTGGCTTAATCCCTTATATTTCAGGTATGTTCAATCCTCATTTTCACGCTGGATGAACATACTTTTCTCTCTGGAGTCAGCAGGAGCAGCAGGCAACGTGGGGAAGCATTCTTCCCCTGACCTACTTGCAGAGTCGAGCATCAACAGCTGCTTAACAAAAGAAAGAAGGAAATATCTCATTTGGAGCTGCTTGCTAAGGCTCTGCCTCATATTCCCAGAGATCTGCAAGGATAAAACCAGGCAAAGATTGCCTTGGGGTAAAAGAACCTCTTCTGACGTAACTCAGAATATCTGCAGCAATATCAGGTGCTCGAGATCATACCTTCTCTCTCATTCTCTCCTCTGCGTGGAGACAGATCAAAACGCTTTGTTCCTCTGACTTGGAAGCTCTTGTATTTTTTGCATTTGACTTCATCTGCTTGGGATAAGCCCATTCCCTCTGTTGCTAATAACAGTCTCTAGCTTTCCAGCATTGAGGAGTTGTATGCGTAAAATCAAATAGTGAAAGCCACGTAGGAAGTGCATTCCCTGAAGCAGTATTGCCAAGCAGCATACCACAAGCCTCTATTTTTGTTTCTTGTTAAAAAGGTTAACAGCCTTGTTGATCTGTTTTGGTATTTTGTCCCATTCTTCTTCAGTTTTTACTTCATGGAAACATAAAACCTTGGCTTAACTTGTCTGGCAAAATCCCTGTCACTTACGCAGAGGGCGAGACGTTTGCAAAGCACATCCCTGGCTCGGCAATGCATCTCTTTGCAGGGCTGGCTGCATGCCCACTTGAGTGGGAGCATTTTTTTCCTAAGCCTGCCTGCAGAGCTCCAGCAGGGCCTGGAGGCTGTGCTTTCGTGGCACTCGGGCCTCTTGCAGCCACGAAGGTGAAGGCATCTCGCCCTCTGCTGGGTGGAAGCACAGTAGTACAAAGGCCTTGCTCTGTATATGACGATAAGAAATAATGGTTGAAATTACTAGCATAGTGCTAACAGAAGGAAAAAGCGCAGACTTCTTAAGTGATTGAAATTCACACCGATGTATATCCTAGAGGTGGGGTATGTATGTGATTGTGTGTGATCGCACTGGGCTTTAAACCAGGAATGATGGGAGAGAGAGTTACCAAAGCCCAGTGAGGGTGTAGTGAACAGAGCTGACAAGCAAAGGACCTGGAGCTGTTGGAGCCATTAGGATGCTCAGAGCCTGGAATCTCTCTGCTACAGAGACTGGCTGAAGTGTTCAGTGTCCAGTGTTCACAGAATCACAGAATCACAGAATTGCCAGGGTTGGAAGGGACCTCAAGGATCATGAATCTCCAAC